AATGCGAGGAGAATAATCGACTATAATTCGTATATTTCGTACAGTTTAAACCTTAAAACACCTATTGTAGATCCGAGCTAAAGCAAATGTATAAGAAAATAGTTCCCATTTAAAACATAAGAAAATCAACTAATCAGAGTCTTTTATTCCAGAAAAGAAAGAAATAAAGAGCCTCAATTGGTTAATTTTCCAATGCATTAGGCCTTGCGCACAATGGAGGAAATATTAGAAATAGAAATAAATATTAAGAGTTCAACCTATAAAAAATCATGTATTCCAGTGTAACTAATATCTGGTAGGTTGAAATCTTTAATATTTATTCCTGTTTCTAATATTTGTTCTATTGTGCGCAGGCCCTTATGCAAGACTCTGTGTTCCCGCCATTATTGCAGAAAGCGAGACGATGGCATGAGTTGCATGCCCCAGGTGTTCAACTCGCACGATCCGTAAATTCGGGTTCGACTCCATCGATTCCACCTGCGCGGCGCAGGATGCGCCCTATTTTTTCGCGTTTAGGAGAACACCCCGCTCCACCTCGTGATCAAATACTAAAATTGTGTTTTCGCGGAGGACGCGGAGCACCCGGAGCACTATTGCTCCAATACGAACAAATACGAGTTACGTAATATCCTGATTCAGTCAATGGCATTTAAAGTTATATAGACTTAAAAGGCCTATTGTGAATTTTACATTGACTCGATACGAGACAAAACTGTGAATTAACTACGTGTGACCTCGAAGAGGCATACACTGGATCAGTAGATTTATCGTATGCTACTATGACCCTTATGAATGGATCGGAAAACAATATAGGGGTGTAAAGAAGAAGAAGACGTAAGCAGTAAGGAAATCAACATGTTGGATTGGCTACTGCTTACATTATTGCGTTACGGTCTTCACTCTGATTGGCCCATTCGCATAGTGCTCGTGTCTTACTGCTTAATTCTTCTTAGTGGACCATTGCCATGGATTTTATCTCTCTCATTCCGCATAAATCGTTACGGCTACTACTTTAGCGCGAGATTCTGAACATCCTTAAGAATTTAAGCAGAACCATTACCCCCAAAACAGTGTTGTTAGGCGAGTCACCTTTACGCGCATGCACATTGAAAGCGCTGGTGAAATCCAGTAACGTACGTACACAGAGTGAAAGAGAGGTATCCTATAGTTTTGGCGGGATTCGACCAGGTCTGCCAGCAAGAAAGTTAATGAGGTACGTAAGATAGTACTTATTATAATATATATTTATACATACAATACGGAATCCAATGTCGTTAAAGGAGCTATTAAAAGAACAATTTTAATAGAACTTTTTAAAATTTTTGGTTAGATGAAAACATTTTTAAAAGGTGAATAGCTCCCCATTTTGAATTAAATAAAGCTTTTTGTAATGTCGCGTGTAATGTCAGCATTGCGTATCGTAAAACAAATTTGTTAGGACATTCACAAATGATTGAACATATATATGAAATGAAAGGTCGAAATCTAAGTCTCAAAAATATTAATAATATTTCATATAATGGTAGAAGAAAAAGAGCGGAGATGAAGTTAACAGCTTTTTTACTGAGCATAATATTGCATTTATACGGCTGATCATTTAATATCTTTAATAAAAGATATTTGTTTGAAACTTAATATCTACAAGATTTGTCACTACGAGTCAACTCAAGTGCAGCAATATTGTTAAAGATATTTTAATTAAACAAGAAACAGAAAAATTATCCAATTGAAAATTTAAAAACGTAATCGATTAGCTAACGACACATTTTGGTCATTTGTAAAATTCGAACTTACTTTCAAACAAGAGATATTTATTAAATCAATTTTCAACCTGATTTAAGACATTTTAAACTCCATAATGCACAAAATTTATATCTAAACCTAAATAATTAGTTAATTATTTCTGTTCATTGGATTATTAATTTAATTTAATGTATTATGTTCATTTATTTTTTTATTCTATGAGTAAATATTTAATTAAATTTCTTTATATATTAAATCAAGTGCTAATTATTTTCTTTTGCTAAGCTTATTTATTCCAGTTAAGTGTCTCCAAATATCTCGTATCTGTGATGTGCAATAATAGGCTTGTTCTTTTTGGCTGAACTTTTGCACCAGTTCATTTTTCTTTCTCTCCTTTTCTCCTAGAGAGAAAAGGATGAAAGATAAACTCGTGCAAAAGTTCAGCCAAAAAGAACAGGCCTGATATTAATAATTATTTATTTTATGCATGTTTATATAATATACATAATGTTTATAATTTTATAAATGTTAATATTTGAATAAAACATTAGAATTAAATATTGCACAGTAAAAAACGTTAATTTATTTTTTTCCTTTAATATTTTTTGTACTTAATCAAATATTTATTTTTATTTATTTGGAAAAATGTAAATTTTTTTTCTGAATACTGATAAGGTTTTTGAAAGTTTTCCTTACCCTTAACAACAAATGTTGATATTCCATATAACTTCTGTCAAATAAATTATTGTACATTATATTCATTTTCTGTTTATTCATTTAATCTCATCTCCTTAACAGATTTTTATAGTGTAATATGAAGTTAGATGGATAATTTTATTTATTATTGTTATCAATTAGTATTGACGTCTTTGACCTATGTAACTTATATATATATATATATATATATATATATAT